CACAACAGTGAGAAGCCCGTGTACGGCAAAAAAAAAAAAAAAAAAAAAGCTCTCTCCACAACTTAGACCTAGAATGAAAACATGTGAGCAAATATTGACAAACCAATTGCTCAAAACTTGTTGCATTCAACAGAATTTATCTTCACTGATTACTATGGAGAGCATGAATAAAGAAGCAGCATTATAGTGGAGGTACCTGAATATGAATAATTTAAATAATAGGTTCTATTATTTACTAGGAAGTTCTTCCAAGGCATCTTATTTCAGAGGTCCCCAAACCCCAGAGTGTAGCCTGTGAGGAACCGGGCTGCACAGCAGGAGGTGAGTGGTGGGCAGGTGAGCAAAGCTTCATCTGCCAATCCCCATCACTCACATTACCGCCTGAACCATTCCCCCCACCCCCATCCATGGAAAAATTGTCTTCCATTAAACTGGTCCTTGGTCCCAAAAAGGTTGGGGATCGCTGTCTTGAGTCTCATAGAAACCTTATAAGGTGCATAAGAAAAATACTGCTATTCTCCTTTTTTTGAATTTTATTCATTTGTTTTTTATTACAGCAGGTTCTTATTAGTTATCTATCTTATACATATTAGTGTATATATGTCAATCCTAATCTCCCAATCCATCCCACCACCACCACCCCACCCCCTCCACTTTCCCTCCTTAGTGTCCATACATTTGTTCTCTACATCTGTGTCTCTATTTTTGCTTTGCAAACGGGTTCATCTGTACCATTTTTCTAGATTCCACATATATGCATTAATATACGATATTTGTTTTTCTCTTTTTGACTTACTGCACTCTGTATGACTGTCTCTATTCTCCTTTTCAGATAAAAAATTGCCACTCAAAGAACCTGAGGTGTTTTCCTTACATCACACTGTTAATAGGTTGTATAATTGGTAGCAGAACCCAATACTATGGGTCAAGAATTTTTTCTCTATTCTTCACTTATTTGCTGTATGAATCAGTACCAGTTTTCCCAAACCCCTCCTGAAATATGAAAGTTAACTAGATAATGAGTACAAAGGAAGACTTTTTTGCTGAAATTGTTTTATGTCTAGTTAAATTGCCTTTTGTAGGACCCAACAGAATGTTGTTTGTGGAGACATAAAAGCTTAGAAATAAAATATAAAATTATAAAAGTCACCCAAAGAATATTTAATCTTCTTTTTTTATTATATATATCTAAGACTCAATATTCTCTATTACCTTTGGAAAATAACTTCAGTTTCCTATAGCTATCTGGGGAGCATTTGTGTAATTCACTGTACCAAAATTGAGAATTTTATAAGTATTTTAAATCAATCCTACATTTCTAAACTAATCAACTGGCTTTATATCTAGAAGACATATAAAAATAAAAACAATTGCTTGTTTTTTATTTTCTTCACAGCTTTCAAGTTTTTTAAAGTTTTACCTTACATCCTTACAATTTTCAAAAAATTTTATGCATGTTTTATATATAAGATGCTTAGCAACTGTTTGAACATACTTCTTGATCAAAAGCCCAGCTGGGAGAATCTGACCCAGGGGTGAAACATTATGTTTCTGTTATGAGGATGCAGTGGTCTAACTCTTGACCAAAACTTACCTCAGAGTATGTCACTGTCAGACACAGATATGAAGGTGCCTTGCTGGGCATTGGGGGCAGGGATGCTCTTTTCTTGTGGAATAGGACACTCGGCTGACTGAACTGCCTTAGAGCAAAGAGTCCAAGGCACCCAGGGGGGACACAGAGACTACCAGCTCTGTTGCGTTGGGTTCTGATCTTGGTTTTTGACTGACTCATCTTGGAGTTTGTGTGATCTGACTTCTATTTTCCATGTATTTGAGTAATTTCCGGTGAGTGAGGTTTCCTTAATGTTAGTGTTGACAAATGTAAAACCACTTTTCATATTTTAACTCAAATGATTTAATACTCTTGAAAATTAACACAAAGAGAATTGAGGTATTACTACAACATTGTGTGCATTTAGTAAATATTTGACCAAGCTTAAGTTGTACATATGATGGTTGTTATTATAATTGTACACAGCACAGCTGGAGCTAGGATGCTGACATTAAGTTACAAAGAATTTTTTTTTTTGGTCTTTTATAGCTCCTGGATAAAGAGCAAGATATTTGGAGGAATATCCTATTTGCACTTCAGCTGTGAGATAAATGTTGTATTTTCTGGCACTAAAGCATACTGCTAAAGCTTGAACAGTAATAAAGAGATGAATTTAGTGGCAAAGAAAATACTAAACTGGAATTCAGTGAATCTCTGGATTATTGTAAACTCTGGGGATATGAATGAGCCCAATAAATAAATGAAATAAAGAATGTTTGGCAAAAGAGTGAGGAATTAACTTGACAGGGAGATTCGTGTTCTCAATACTTCAGGAAGGAAGGGGACAAGGAGTCAAGAAGTAGAAACAAGGTGAGTTAATGTGAGGCAAATTTGGGAAAATATCAAGAAGAGTTTTGCTGGCAACATAGGCTGACAAAATGATACCTGATTATTATTTTGTGCTTGTGATGGAAAGCTCTCTAAACAAACACTTTAACTGCATACATAATCGAGCGAAGCTAACGTTTAAGGCTGGGATAAGGTTAAAATGTGGACAGCCTGAGGGTACTAACAAGATACTATGTCAGATTCTTGGAAGAACAAATATTTCAGAACAAAATATGTCAGGAGAAAATGTAAACACCATCCAGAAACTCCCGACTTCCTCTTCTTTCCTCACTGTGTGGATAAACTGGCTTTCAACAAGAAACATAAAAGAAAAAGTTGCCTTGTTTGACGTGTGAAGGAAATTATTTAGAACACATTGAAGGGAAGCCCTCAGTATGAGGTACCATCCTTTGTATGCAAAGAACAACATTCATTGGGACACCCACTTCACTCTTTTTTCAGAATAGTATGATATGGAGCCATCCATTGTCAGACATTCATTGGCTGACTGGGGTTAGGTGTTTAATCTCTGGAGAAATAATCTTTTCTACATACAGTCACTGAACTCATGATTTTTCCTGTCACTCATCAGGTGACAGTTAAGGTGAGGAGAAATAAACAACACATCTGTAATATATTGGAGCAGTCTGGCTGCTGAGAGGAGTATAAGGCAAGATATTGCCCTCAAGATCTTAGAAAGGATGACAAAATGATAAATATATCTGAAATGGGCAATGCATGTTAATTATTAACTGATACTAATTCCAACACTGTGCCAGGCACTGAAGTTACAAATCAGGTAAACTCATTTCTTCCTGCTGCCTAGAATCTACTGGAGAGTACAATGAAGAACCTGAAAATTCATGGTAATGTGGGAAAAAAACACAAGTTTGTGCTTTGGAATCAGGCTCACCTGGGGCTGATTCCCTGTTCCTCTGTGGTTTTGAAGTTGGCCAAGAGATTTAACCTTCTCTAGCCTCGTTCATCTCTTCGCTTGAGTGTGTGTGTTTGAAAATCAAAGATGATCCTATGAAGTGTTTAAAAAAGTGTCCAACACAAAGTGGATCCTCAGAGAGGATAAGCAAGGTAAGGTTTCAGGTATGTATGAAAACACTCCAGTGGTGGGGACTCCACAGAGGTGGTGGACCTCTTCCTTCATCTCGTGTGACAGTTAGAATATGGATAGGTGTGATGGCAGCATGTTTGTTTCTCTGCAGTATTCCAGACCCATTCTTTTCACACATGGGCTATTTAGGAAGGAAACATACTTCGTTTAGGTTGGATAGGCTTTGCCAATAATGAGAGAGAAGAACTTCTCAGAATGGAACTCAAGATTGGTAGGCTATGAAGAAGTGCAATGGGAAAAGAAAAGCCTAGTAAGTGTCACTGGAAACATGCCAGTGGGAAGGGACAGGATGTCTAGCCCTTTGGGCTTCCTCAACAGGAAGTACATGCATTAATCTCCCCAAAGCTTCTAGGAGCATCGTTAAAGAAAGGAAAAGGAAGAGTAAAAAGACATTTTATCTCACAAATTTATTGGTCCTAAGCCTAAGCCCCACTATCATTATTATTAATAGAAATAATAATTATAACAATATAACTTTGAATAGCTATCATTTTATCCCTTTAAAGCATTTTCACTCTCTGGATTGCTCTGGTTTCTCACAGATCTCTGTTGAGGTGGAACTGAATAGAACTCTCTGCCACCCCCACCACCCCTCACCAAATACAAATGTTCCTCCAGGTCCTCTGCCTCTTGTTTGTAGAAAAGCTGAAGTCTCCCAGGCGTCCCAAAATAGCAGGTTCAAGCAGTTAATGATTAAGACAATAAAGTCACAGATTCAGTATCTGATGCACATTTCTGAATATTTTATGGGTACTATAATGGGCACCAGAGGGGAAAAGCTAACTTCATGATGACCAGACTGCAACCATGACATAAGCTGTGCCATCTTGAGCAGTACTGAATATATGGCTAGCACAATTCCAATAACTGGCCTTAAGAGAATGGGATTAACACTATTGCTCATAATAATCTACATATTTGTGGGCATCAAAATAATTGTAGCTTGTTCTGCCCTTATATGTAAATGAGCAACTAAAGCTGTCAGCAGAGAGATGCTTCAAACCCATGTCGATAATGTTCACTATAAGACCTCAATGCCCTTTCTCAGCATGAAGTTACAGAAGGTGGACCTTTGACCCTAATCCCATAGAAATGAAATGACGTCTGACAGGGGCCTGGGGGGGGGCAGTTGTAAGCAATTCTTTGCAGGAAGCTGTCCTCAGCAGAAAATCTCGTTTCTTGTTAATTTAGCAAAGCTACATTTTAACTCACTTTTAAATCAGGCACCCGCATGCTCTACTCATTTCCGGCCCTAGCATAATTTTTAAATCTTTTGATCAAACAATATCTTGCCTAACCTGTTGGCTATTTCCATAGATTAAAGAAGTAGAAATGAAGAATAAGTAATTAACAGATGACCAGATCTCTTCCTTAGCTTCCCCTTCAGTAATCTGGCAAACAAACTGTGTGATAAAAGTGGTGAACAAGATAGCATCTACGGGGTGCCCTCCTTTCCCTTGGGTCATGCGTGGCTGGAAGTGTTTCCCGAAATGGAGTATTTGAGATGGGGACCGCCCTGGACATTAAGGTTAAAAGCGCGAACAAGGTTTATCACACCAGGGAAATGCTCTCCGGGGTGGTGGTCATATCTGGGAAGGATTCGGTCCAGCGCCAGGGAGTCTCCTTGACAGTGGAAGGAGCCATGAACCTCCAACTCAGCGCCAAGAGTGTGGGTGTGTTTGAAGCATTCTATAATTCTGTTAAGCCCATCCAGATTATCAACAGTACCATCGAAATGGAGAAACCAGGAAAATTTCCCAGTGGCAAAACAGAAATTCCTTTTGAATTTCCTCTGCACGTGAAGGATAAGAGTTCTGTATGAGGCTTACCACGGCGTGTTTGTCAACATTCAGGTTAAGGTATGAAGAGCTCATTTTGAGATGCCCTGGAGGCCTGAGCTCCAGGACTCTGAGCACTGTCACTAGCATCGCTTCTCTTCCCCATGTGGGGCACAGCTCTGCCCTTGCCCTGGCACCCAGTTCAGTGCTGCCCATGCAGAGAACCCAGCAAGTGAGAGCGAGTTGGGGGCTGACCCACATCTCCCAGGTTGGCCTGTGAAGTCTAGATGCCATCCAGGGGTTTGCAGTCCTGCTGCCTGTGTTTTCTCATCCTTACTACAAAACAGCTGCCGTTTTACCCAGGGCTGCTGTGTGCCAGGCCTTGGCTTATCACATGGTACCTCGTTGGGTCCTCACTAAGTATACCCTGTGCTGTGACATGAGGCGGTCCCTGCTGGCCAAGGACTTGACTAAGACCTGTGAATTCATCATTCACTCTGCTCCTTAGAAGGGGAAACTGACTCCGAGTCCCGTGGACTTCACTGTCACACCTGAAACCTTACAGAATGTCAAAGAGAGAGCCTTGCTCCCCAAATTTCTCATCAGAGGACATCTCAACTCGACCAACTGTGTTATCACACACCCACTAACGGGAGAGCTGGTGGTGGAGAGCTCGGAGGCCACCATCAAAAGCATCGAGCTGCAGCTGGTGCACGTGGAGACCTGTGGCTGTGCAGAAGGGTACACCCGCCATGCCACAGAAATTCAGAACATTCAGATAGCCAATGGGGACATGTGTCGGGGCCTCTCTGTCCCCATATACATGGTCTTCCCCCAGTTCTTCACCTACCCGACACTGGAGACCACCAACTTAAAAGTGGAGTTCGAGGTTAACATTGTTGTGCTGCTTCACCCTGAGCACCTCATCACAGAGAACTTCCCGTTGAAGCTCTGCAGGATGTAGGCAGGAACAGGTGGAAATGCAGCCGTGCCGACCTACGGGAGCTGAAGCCGGCAGCCCCGAACTTGCTTTCTTGATGGTTCTGTATCAGAAATGAGTCTGACCCTTCTTCCTCATTCCCTCGAGGCCCCTCTAGTCAGAACTTCCCTTTGAAATTCATCAGGATTTCTTCATGGCGTTGGCAAGATTGTTTCCCAGAGAGAAAATTTCCTGTGACTCCTGACTAACCTGCTCCTTTTTAGGTTCAGAGCACAGTTATAACAGAGTCTGAATTTTGCTGGAAAGTGAGGTCAGGGACAAAGGAAACCTCCTGTCTGGCCGATGGTTGTGGCCAGGGCTCCCGACAGCTCCCCGACTGCGCAGGGTGGCGACAGGCGTGCTGGTTGCCAATGACTTTGGTGGACACCCGCCAAGGAGGGTGCTGTGGTGCCCGCTGCAGATGCGCAGCATGTTTCCCACTCTGTTCTCTTTTATAACATTTGTCGTGATAACGTCAGAACTTTTGGGAACCTGGGGAAAGTGTGCTTTGCCCTCCCAGGAGTGAGGGGATCTGGTGACCACAGCTGGTGCTGGAGTATTTCTGAGTCTCAGGACCTGGTGTGAAGTTGCCTGCTGCCGTCTTCCGAGTCCGTTTAAGTGCGAGGTTCTGTCAGGGACAAAAACACGTGTCCACGCCCGTCATTGTTGGCTGGGTTCTGAGTGGCAGGGGACCCGAACCCAGGCCAGCAGTGAAGACCCCTCTGTGCTGGGCGGGACCTGGACCTGATGAACTTGGCCCACCTCCATCCCACGTGAGGGACCTGCGCTGGCGGGGTCGGGGGAGGTAGTTTGGCCTGAAGCCATTTTCTCCCTCGCCTCCTGTTGGGAATTGCCGTGTATGGTGGGTCTGTTACAACACATTTCTTCCTTCACATCCGAATGTTGTTTCTCTGGGTCCACAATTAACCTCAGAAGTAAGCTGCACACCGTGCACGCTGCCTGGCCTTCCTCTCCTGAGGGAATAATTATTACGTGAAGAGCTGCCAGCAGCCCGGCCGCCTTTATCATTTTATTAAAACTCGAGGGGCCTGGGCGAGGGCCATTTCCTTGCCCTTCTTGGACGGGCACCTCCACCATCAGTTAGTAAGGAAAACTCGGACGTTTGGGTATCTTGGGCAGCAGCAGTCCCACTACTGCCCTGGCTGGAGCTGGAGGTGTCCTTTGTCAGGTTCTCCCATTACAGCAGGGGGAAGGGGAGGTGAAGGAAAGAGGCCGTGAACCTAAAACAGTACATTTTTTGGGAAATGCCCGGTTAGGCAGGGGCACTTTCTGGCTATTGGAGCTCCAACAGAAATGGGGCCTTGCTCTGGTTCTCAGCCACATTGTGAGTTCCACAGGAAATGTGGAGAGGTCAATCAGAAATAAAACGTTTAAAAAGGAAACAAACAAAAAAAAGCATCTAAAGAAATGTCACAAGAAGATGACAAGCCTGCATGCAGTGGGAGACAGGTATGAGTCTGATCCCCTAACTCAATGATTAACTGAGATTACTTTCCTTTTCCCTTTAAAAACTTTCATGGTCGAGCAGAATCTTCGGAGTTGATTTTTGGGGACACCGAGTCCACCATCTCTCCAGATTGCTGGCATTCTGATTAAAAGAAACTTTCCTTTCTACCAACACTTGCCTCTCTCTTGGGTATTGATTTTCAAGTGGTGAGCAGCTGGACCTGAGTTTGGTAACAGAGGAGAAAGGCAACCCAGGAATCATTACTTCCATTTTACAGATGTAGACGCAGGCTGCTGAGTCTCTATTAAAAGATTTTTACCACCTGGTTACATGTGATCCGGGGAAACACATTTAAGCCTACAGAACCTTAGTTCTCTTATCTTCTAACATGGAAATCAAATAATCTCTTAGAATACTTCTGGTTGAAGATCTTATTATCTATTTTAATAGCTGTAATTAACTGCTTCTTAAACAGTCTCCCATTATCCTGGCCTCCTGATATTTACATTCTTCTATAAACTCTTTCCCTTGTGTGTGAGCTGGACCTAGTGACTCACTTCTAGCAAATAGAATACACCAGAGGCAATAGGATGCTGTTTCCGAGATTAGGTTATAACTACTGTGACTTCCCTCTTCCTTGTTCTCTCTCTTTGGCTCTTCTCATGTACTTGCTATAATGAGGCAAGTTGCAGAGGCCCACATGGTGAAGCCCTGGGGACAGCATTTGGTCAATAGCCAGTGAGAAACTGAGGCCTTCAGTCTGACAACCCGAAGAGAACTGAATTCTGCCAATTGTACTGGGAGTGAACATGGAAGCAGATTCTCCCCCGGTGGAACCTTCAGATGACTGAGATCCTGACCAACAACTTGCAGCCTTCTGAGATACCCTGACCCAGACCCGTAGCTTCCAACTAAGCCACTCCTGAATTTCTGACCCACACAGGAACTGTGAGATGATAAATGTTGTTTTAAGTCTCCAAGTGTTGAAATAATTTGTTACACAGCAATAGATGATTAAAGTCAAATATCAATGCCAGAACTGATCACAGGATTTCTTTTCCCTGAATTTTTGTTTCAGCATTTTCTAACATATTCACAACACATTAGTGAAATGAAATGCTCTGTGTGAGAAGGGTTCTATGGTCAAAATACATTTAAGAAATGTTTCACAGTCGATCTTTCCCTTGCAAATACATAATGTATATTGTATATTAAAGATTCAGTGGTAAAGAAAGTTAATTTTGTTAAAGCCAGCATTCCTCAAACTTTTTGACCACATAACACTATTAACATGAAGCACCTATTAATAAATATTCCAAGGAAGATATACATCATAAAGCACAATGAACAGACTTTAGGAAACACTGACAGGGCTATTTTATTACCTTCTGAACGTCTTTCTGAGAGCTACAACCAAGAAAATGAAGCAGAATGGAGAAATCTGTGGTGTGTACAGTTTGTGTACTATCAGGAGAAAAATACACCTGGAGGTACTTCTGGCTGTATGAATATGAATACCTTTTATTCCCTTCTCTCTACCTTTCTATGTTTTCCATAGTGGACATATATTACTATTTACATACGACAAATTTTATACAGTAGGCTTAGTAACATTCTTCTCCCCATCTTGTTTTGGTAAGCTTTGAGACTGCGCTTTTATGTATGCACATGTGTATACAAGGGGTGGAGGCACTGGGGTGAGGCATAAGGCCAAGATAACTCTGGCTGCATGTATTACCCCTGTCTACATGGGTGGATGCCTGATTACCTACTCTGGATGAGTTTCAAGCTCTCCTACAGGTTACTCTTTGCACCTGCCCAGAGAACCTATGAATGGCATAGCTGTACTGCTGACATTTCTTTATGGGAGGCTGGTCATTAGGTCTGACCCTCTCTGCCAGAGCTGAGTTGTTACACCGTTGTGTTTATGGGGTCCCCCAGGCCTGAACTAGATCCCTGCTCTTCTTCCTCCTTGCTGCAGCAAGAAAGACATTGCTATATATGTCCCAAATTTTGGGGCCAAAGAGAAGAAGGGAAAGGTGAGGAATGAAGTTGTTTCCCTGCCCAAGTGCAAAATGCAGCCCTTCAGGAGAGATTCTAGACTGTAGGGAAACAAGTTATGGCAAAGTTGTGTGGCCAGGTACAACAGCAGGGGCCTGGAGTGTTTCTTCTGGGGTGAGCATTCCGAGGGTAGGTTAGAGGAGCTTCTGCGACTATAGAGGCATGATCTGGACCACTATTGAGCAAGAATTGGGATTACAAGCCAGTGAATGTGAAGCCAAGCTTTGACCACAGGACAGTTAGTCTCAAGAGCTTTCTGCCTTCCTGTTCACACTTGCTCCCCTCCTCTCACCCTGCCAACCACTGCTGAGCTGCCTTGCACCCTTCGTCATTTTTTAAAAAATTAATTAATTTATTTTTTTCAGGTTTTTTAAACATCTTTATTGGAGTATAATTGCTTTACAATGGTGTGTTAGCTTCTGCTTCATAACAAAATGAATCAGTTGTACATATACATATATCCCCATATCTCTTCCCTCTTGCGTCTCCCTCCCTCTCACCCTCCATAACCCACCCCTCTAGGTGGTCACAAAGCACCGAGCTGATCTCCCTGTGCTATGGGGCTCCTTCCCACTAGCTTTCTATTTTACATTTGGTAGTGTATATATGTCCACGCCACTCTCTCACTTCGTCCCAGCTTACCCTACCCCCTCCCCGTGTCCTCAAGTCCATTCTATAGTAGGTCTGTGTCCTTATTCCCGTCTTGCCCCTAGGTTCTTCATGAGCATTTTTTTGTTTTGTGTTTTGTTCTTAGATTCCATATATATGTGTTAGCATACGGTATTTGTTTTTCTTTTTCTAACTTACTTCACTCTGTATGACAGACTCTAGGTCCATCCGCCTCACTACAAATAACTCAGTTTCATTTCTTTTTATGGCTGAGTAATATTTCATTTTATATATGTGCCAAATCTTCTTTATCCATTCATCTGTCAATGGACACTTAGGTTGCTTCCATGTCCTGGCTATTGTAAATAGAGCTGCAATGAACAATATGGTACATGACACTTTTTGAGTTATGGTTTTCTCAGGGTATATGACCAGTAGTGGGATTGCTGGGTCATATGGTATTTCTAGTTTTAGTTTTTTAAGGAACCTCCATACTGTTCTCCATAGTGGCTGTATCAATTTACATTCCCACCAACAGTGCAAGAGGGTTCCCTTTTCTCCACACCCTCTCCAGCATTTATAGCTTGTAGACATTTTTTTTTTTTTGGCAGTACGTGGGCCTCTCACTGTTGTGGCCTCTCCCGTTGCAGAGCACAGGCTCCGGACACGCAGGCTCAGTGGCCATGACTCACGGGCCCAGCCGCTCTGTGGCATGTGGGATCTTCCCGGACCGGGGCACGAACCCGTGTCCCCTGCATCGGCAGGTGGACTCTCAACCACTGCGCCACCAGGGAAGCCCTGTTTGTAGATTTTTTGGTGATGGCCATTCTGACTGGTGTGAGATGAT